CAGTGTTGAATTGCTGTGCAACTTCGTCTCTTGGACCGCAGCTATCAATGCCTTCCCATGAAGACCATGTCATTCCCACGACAGCCGGTTCTACGTACCGGAATGACTCGGGTTTTACCCGACCAAGGGCTGTTGTTTCGGCGATCTAACCCCGTTTAGGTCGNGTTGTTTCGGCGATCTAACCCCGTTTAGGTCGGCGAAGTATCTCTTTTATTCATCTTCTTCACTGGCGCTGTATCAGCGTGAGGGATTTTGGTTCGATCCTTTATATGTGTTTATCACTACGTATAGATAATTAGTTACAAAATTTTAGTTTTCCGATATGCTTAGATAAGTTCCGAGATGATGAGGACCAATAAAACATAACTGTCGATTCATCCACAACTTAATTTTATGTTTTATACTAAAATTCAAATTTTAAATAGTTAGTTTTTTTGTGAGAGAAGCATTCATTTATTTAAACTAAAAGAATTTTTAAAAATTATATAAAGAAATACAAGAANAAAAAAAAAAAAAAAAAAAAAAAAAAAAAAAAAAAAAAAGCGAAGTCTAATGTCGTTATTCGTAAAAATATATAAAATATATAAAAACAACAACAAAAATGATTAATATAAAAACAAAAGCAAAAAAATGAAAAATACCAAAAATTAACAAAAAGTTAAGTCTAGATTCGTAGTGTAGCCTCCTCCTGGTGGGCTTCGGAAACTACTTTTTATTTTTATTTAATTCTTTTGCTAAAAAGCCATATGTAAGTTTTTAATAATTTTAAGAATTTTATATTCGCAAAATCATTGTGTGTAATTTATTCTATTTTGATGCATAAATCTTAATCTAAAAACTTAATGCAGAATTTATAGTTTTGCTTATCATATGCGTCCTTTTTAATATTTTTAACCTTGACTGTGATAGTAGTTTAGTGGTCGGTTTCGTCTTCATAATCTGACAGTAAAATTGAGGGTCATATCACTTGTGGCCGTAAAAATGCTCAGCAGAGTTACCTAATATAGTAGTTTCAATGTTGTAAAAGTAAATGGTTTTGCCGAGGAGGAACCTGAAACAATAAGAAAGTTACTAGAATACTCAAGGAAGTGGGGTTATTATGTTGATTATAAGTCGTTATGAAAAAAACTCTAGGTCAATGTTACCATGTGTACGTGATTTGGCAAAAACAGTTTCCCTGGACTCCAACGCTGGCGCACGATTCTGTAGATCGCTCACTACACTTGCCTCATTACTTTGCCAGTACAAGGAGGAAATTTTGGCCACACACTACATAGTAGTAATTATAAGAATTTGAAAGTTTTGATAGAGATTTAGGTTTATAAAATAAATATACATATATGTACATACCAATGGTCCCATGCTACTTTATCTCAACTGGTCAATAGCCATCAATTTAATATATACCGAACGCCTTGCGAAAGACTATGTTTACTCCATGAACTATCCTATTAAATGTTTCGTCTTATCTCAAGCTGTCATATAAACTATCCTAATTCAGACGTGGCTATTTACTGCGCCTTAACTCCATATCTTAACAGCTTAACATACTTTGGTAGATTATTTCCAAAATTGGTAGAAAAAATTTGGGTTGGTAGAAAGGTTTTTTTTTTGTAAGTTTTTAGTAAAGTATTTGGTTTGAAAAACAAAATTTTCGTTCCCGCTTTATTTTTCGTAGTTATATTCGTACAGTCGGCCGCTGTGGTGTAGTGGAAAGCAGTGCGCGCTTCCACTCCGCAACGCCTGGGTTCAAGCCCTGGTCAAAGCAACATCGCAAAAAAATATATAAAAAAGGTTTTTTCTTAACAGCGGTCGTCCCTCGGCAGGCAATGGCAAACCTCCGATGTATTTCTGCCATCAAAAACAGCTTCTCATAAAAATACAATCGCCGTTCGGAGTCGGCGT